AATTACCGCTGAAATTACAAACTGATTTGGCACTTTCAGTTCATTACAATACACTTAGTAAGGTTCAACTTTTCCAGGTATTTGAATTTTTTAATTTTGATTTATTGTAACAATCAAATAATAAAAATTAGGATAGGAATGAAATGCAACGAATTAATTTTGGAGGAAAAAAAAATCTCTACCATTTTTAAGTAATTTTCTTCAAATTTTTTTCATAAATTTATTTATAAAAGCTAATTTTTAAAAAATTTCTAAAGGATTGTGATCGAGCTTTACTTCGCGGATTAGTACTTAAACTTCGACCAGTAATTTTTCTTCCCGGTGATATGATTTGTAAAAAAGTAATTTTTTTCTGATATTTTCTTCATATGACTAATTCATCGATAAATGTTATCCATCATAAACATTATTGAAATGTGAGTGAACAAATGATCAATGGATTTTTTTATTTTTTTTAATATCGACGTGTGAACGGAACATCTATGAGCAAAATTTTAAAATAAGTTATTTAGTAAAAAAATATGCTAATTAAGGTAATATTTCAGGGAGATATTGGAAAGGAAATGTATATTGTCAACGATGGTATTCTTCAGGTTGTTGATGGTGAACAAAGTAACAAAGTTTTTGCTGAACTTACTGAAGGATCAGTTTTTGGTGAAATTAGGTTGCTTAATTGTTTTATCACAATTAAATTTGTTAATTCCTTCATCGTCAGTTTTCGATAAAATTATGCTGCTTAATTTTTTTATCACAATTAAATTTGTTAATTCTTTTATTATAGCCATATATGAATTTATTGTTAAGTAATTTCATTATTTCTTTTAATCATAAAAACTTTTATTTTATTTTTTGAATTTGTTTTAGCATTAATTGATTTCATCAAAGAAAAATTCAAAATTCAATTTTAATATTTTTCAATATATTGAAAAAAAATGAGAAGAAATTTCATTTTTTCAATAAAAAAAATTTTTTTTAGTCTATTGGCAATTGATGGTAATAATCGCCGAACTGCAAATATTCGTTCCAAAGGTTATTCAACACTGTTTGTTCTTTCAAAGGAAGATTTGAATGATGTGATTAAAGATTATCCGGATGCGCAAGAATTATTGAAAAGAAAAGCTAGGTAACTTTCTCTCTCTCTCTCTCTCTCTCTCTCTTCTAAAAAAGATTTCTATTGAGGGAGAATTTAGCGTTTCGTCCTAAAATGATATTCAATCCATGTAGCACGTAAAAATCTTAATTTTGACATCCAAAAAAATATTTTTAATAGTTTTTATTCATTTACAAATTGTATTATTATGCAGAGAGATGCTGAAAAAAGATGAAAAAGCGGAGAAGAAAATTTCATTGGAAAAAACAATGGAAAATTATCCAATATCAGCACATATCAATACACCACGACTTATCAATACAGTTATAGAAGCAATCTCATCAAACTCACCAATTCTCAAACAAATCGATCCATCTGGTAATAACTATTTCGTTTGTTGTTGTCTTTCCCTCAAATTTTAAATCTATCTGAATTGCCTTTTCTCCTCCCCCCTCTCTCTCTCTCTCTCTCTCTCTCTTTCAAAATTTTATTCATTTTTCAGTTTAATTGCGCATTTCTTTGTTGCAGGAATCAGTAATAGATTAAAAATGCAACATACTGATGTGGTGGATAAGCGATGAATCAAATAATATCTAACAGAATAATTAATGATTTAAAAAATGATAAATAATTCCTGAGGAATTATAATATGCTGAAATGTACTGTAATCAACGGTATTGTATTGTATTTGTTATCGTAAGGACAGTAAGTTAATTGTATAAGCCACTTAGAGCAATAATACATTTTATTTATTGCCTGCAAAACATACAAATAGATTTTTTTAAAACTGTCTAATAAACATTACATTACTTTATTTTTTCAAGTTGTCATATAAATAAAGTTAAAGTAAATGCTTCTTTATCCTAACTAAAATGATTTATGAGTGAATTTCCTAGAATAAATTTTAAATTATATAACACATTTAAGCTACACAATTTCTTTATTATTTTATAGCATATAATAATGTAAATATATCAAATAGTTATACATCAACAATAAAAAAAAAGAAACAAATATCAGAAATGAATAGAGCTATTAATTAAGAATGAAAAGGATTGAAAGTCATTTGTTGTCGAGATTTATGATACTCCATGCTAGTTGAATGATAATTTGGAATTTAAATCAATTTCAATCAATTCCACCAAACTTTTAATTCGTTTCACTAATAAATTAATATTTTAATTGACAGGATGATTTTGATCGGATTTCTACATACAAAATTTGATATTTGAAATGAAAAGCATTGAAGAAGATTTGAAAGAATGACCCCGAAATGATAAAATCTCAAACGCTATATAAATGCCCTTTTTTCTCCATTTTTCGATCTTAAAATTCAAATTTTCGTTATACTATTTAGAAATTAAAAAGATGAATATTCGGTTTTTAGTTTTATATATGTATATATATCTATATTTAATTTAAATTTTAAACCATTTCTAAAGTATTGGATAAACTGTTCATTTCCATTATTGGTTTTAGTTCGAAAAAAAAGTACTTGATATTTTAACATGCAATTTCGTTGAAATTAATTACTATCATTCATACTATTCCTACTAAAATTTTGCTGAAGTTTCATGAGTTTTGCTAAATCATGGAAATTTTGAGCACCATTCAGTTGCGCAATTATTTCATCGTTGGGTGGTGCAAAACCAGGTGGTCCAGCATTGCTCAGTGAACTGTTTGATAAATTTGAATCAAACATAACTTTAGTAGGAGATGGAGGCTGTAAAGTGAATGGCGATGATCTATGAGCTTTTTCTAGTTGAACCTCTTGCAGAGATATCGACTGCGTTACTGCAAAAAAGAATAAATAAATATGAAATTATGCTTAAATGGTTAAATATGATTGAAAAAAAAAATACCTCAAATAATTGACTTCTTTTAAATTTAAATTTAATGTGCTTCAAATCTATTTTTACTATTTCTAAAATAATTTTTCAAATTCAATTGATTCAATCTCCTCTATTAATTTTGAATTACTTTAATTTGTTTCATAAATTTCATGAAAAGTAAAGTTTAGTGAAAAATTAATAAGTGTAATTTAGTAGGGAAAAAGAAAAAAAATGAAATTCAAAACTGGATGTGATTTCAAATTGCTGCAAACATTTTTTTTAAATATCAAATTAATTTTATTCTCATTGACATTTGATTCTCAAATTTGAGTATAAATTTGCTAATGTTTCTTTTCCTTTGGATATTATTTCATTCGTAAAGGAATGTGATATAATAAGAAATGCAAGGTGATAAGCATTTTAGGCATATGATTGAGAGTATTAGCTGCTTTTCGCAATGATCTTTTTCGACGGATTTATTCAGGAAAAAAAAACGCTCATAAAAACTGAAATTACAAGAGTAATGTATTTGAAATTGATTTGGAAAAAAATTTCGTAATTGATAGTTTGCTGTTTGAAATTTTGCTCGCATCATTTAAATCTTTGAGATGAATGCAATGATTTTAAAAAGACTAACCTGTTAAATTTTGTTTTTTATTTTGAAATGCAACATGTTCAGAATGTTGCTGTGACTGTTCCTTATTTGGTAACTTTATAAGCGTGCTGCTTGTATCATTCGTTGGTAAAGTTACTGTTTTGTGGAATTCCAAATGAAATTCATTGTCAGTAAATGATTTAAAATTTTTGCTTTCTAAATCAAAATTGTTTCCGTTTGATAAAAGAGATGGTGCTGCGGTGATTAGATTTGTTCTATTAATTTTCGTAGGAATCGAAAATCGATTCGTTAAATTAAATGGTCTGAAATGAAATGATCTTTTCTATTTGGAGAAATTAAATAAATAAATATTATAAAATTAATGATTGAAAATTTTTACTTTAACTGAAAATGTGAGAATTTTTCATTTGTTAAAAAAATACGAGTTCAATACTATTTAATGCAAATAAATAGCTTTTAAACATCACAGTCTAAAATTTTCATTTTAAATGTAAATATGATGAAAAAAAAAAGCAGGAAATTGTTCATCTTCATTAATCTAATGAAGTTATTTGTATTATAGACAACAAATAACAAATGGAATACATTACGGGCGAAAATGTCACAGCAATTAGAGAGTTTGTCACAGCAAATGAGAGAGTTTATGATCGTAGAAACAAAGAAAAAAAAAATGCATCAATATCATTTCTTCTTTGAAGAAAATTACTTCTTCAAGAACTGGTCGCTAAAATTCATGCTAAATTTGTAAGACAAGTAATGGTAAACATAAAATTTGCTTTGCAGTGGATAAAAATTTTTATTGTTAATCACATATCAGATATCCATTGTTTTTATCATCTCTTCAATTCTTTAATCTTCTCTTCAAGCTAATGAAAAAAATTGCAGTGCTAATTTGAGAATGATATAATTATGAATCTAAAACGATTAAAACTTACCCATGTCTGAAGTTAAACCAATGTAATTGGAATTTTTCTCTATCCTCATCCGAAGTTTTTTTTATTCTTTCGAAGGAAGTTTCTTGGAGTAACTTTCGAAGACGAACAAACTGTAGCTGTCTTGATTTATTTCCCAAAATAACCGGTTGAAATTTATCAGTTAGAACAAATGGGGCAGAAACTAGCATTTGACCATTTTTGCGTATGTTTGCTTTTTTCTGGCCTCTGTTCATGTCATTTCTCGGCAGTACAGTATTTCTGTAAAATTTTAAGACGGGAAATTTTCCTAATTTATTGATAAAATTGCACTCGTATTGCAGAAATAAGAAAAGTGGCGTGAAAATATTATGCAAGTTTGAAATATTTAGTATAAAAGTTTGTGACAAAGTTTTTTTTTTCTTTTTTTTTTACGAAATGTTTATAAATTAATTTAGGTACCTGTGAAACTGCAAACCACTAGTTATGATGGACGAATTTTGCCGCAGTTTCCTACTGATTAAAGAGGGTTGTTTTACTACCTGAATTTATATTTTGATAGTTTACTTCCTTCCTAATTAGTCATAATAATATAATATATTTGCTGTTTAGAATATATTTTCAGCAACATACATTTCTTGTCAATACTCCCTCAACTGAACAAACTATCTGACCTGACGATTTAATCCAATAACTCGTTGCAAATTACGCAATCGTAATTTTTGTCCTTGAATTTGCTGATCTGATTGACGAGATTGAAAGAGACTGAAGACTGAATTTTAAGTTTTTGGATGAGAAATGAACTGTATCCGGAAAAGTAACAATTACTTCCTCTTTATTTTTTTAATTTCAAATGATGTAGCAGAATTTGACAAATTTATGCATTTCAATTTTAGCTATGGAAATTTGAACAAAAGAAAAAGCAAATTTTATGCTACGAAGGGAAATTGAAAATTGTTATAAAATTGTGGAATTTTTCAAGAAATTCAAGATAATAAGCCGGAATTCACAATTTTGACGATAATGAAAAAGGAAATTGGTAAGATATCACAAATTGCTCATATAATAATAACATTTTTTTGATTTTTTTAAAAAACATTAACAACATTGCATGAAAAATTTAGACAATTTGTAAATAAAATTGTAGAAAATGCAATATTTTTTATCGTTTTTAAAATTTTTACAGATTTGATTTTTGTGAAATGAAGTGATCGGTAAAGAAACGTATCAGAAATACTGCTGAGCAGTAATCTGATTGATTGTAATAAGAGTGTGTAACTTAAGAAATGGAAAAGTAATCAGAAATGAATAAGCAAATATGTGACTAAATGAGGGAATAATTAAGCAAGCAAAAAATATTATCCAAATAATTAATGGAATATGTAATAGTTGTTACCTGCTTTTGTTGATTGGAGTCCATCGATTTAAGGATATAATTGTAGGTATGCGAAAAACCTAAAAATAATTTTCGTTTTATTGATTGTGATCTTGTTGGAATGTTGATTACTTTTTTTTGAGAAAAATGATAAGATTTTGAAATGTCAATTCTTTATTTACACTTATTTAATGTATTCTATGGTATAAAAACTTTTTATTTTTTAAATTCAAACCAAAGATAGAGGTAATCGGTTATAGAATTGCTAGAGATTTTCTCGAGGTTAAGGAGAAAATTTGGATGTTCAAAATAGGACACTTATTTAGATTTTGATCCAAACAGTTAGTTCATTTTGAAACTGGTTGTTTTCAATTTTTTAATTATTCGAAATTTCGTCGAAATATTTTGAAACTGCTTGTTGCATAGCTAAAAATTCAATAATTTTAAAATGGGAGCAAAATTGAAAAAAAATGCATTAAAACAATTGGAACATTTTTTCTTTTCAAATTGAAATAAAATATTATACAAAAGACTATTTTGCTTTTTAAAATTTGTATTAAGCAGGAAGCTTCGTGTGGTAAAATTGAAATACGAATGATACGAAACCGGCATTAACTGTTGCCGCTCTGCCGTTTTATGCACAAATAACGTTAAAAATACAATTGACAACGTCATCATTCCTGTTACTGCCATTTTCGTTAAAATTGTAGTTCAATTAAAAACAGTGACAGCTCGACTTAAACACTTTCGCCATATTTATTCTTTTGCGTTCTGAAAATTAATAGTGATAATAATGATAAAATGTATGAAAATATAATGATGATGATTAGTGATTGTTGCTAAAATGCGATAATTAAACGATAATTTTCTTTCTTTTGACAATTGAATCACTATCAATCTTCAGTAATTTTTGATTTTTGACAAATTTAATGAAACAATCATTGGCAATGTTTTCTATGATTTCCAAATTCTAAACAAGTATCTCAAGTTTTTAAATCTCAATTTTTGAAAAAATAAACAGAGTTTTGCAAAATCATGCAAATTATAGAAGGAAACGGTTAAATGTGGAGTTGACATAAGTACCATATTATAATGTAATTATGATTTAAAGCTATATTAACTCATAATACTTACTTTGCGAAATTATAATTTACTGCAGATAATAATGGCTTACTAAAATACACCATGTTTGTGACCTTTCAGATAATACAAAAAGGAATTTTCATAAAATTAAATTGCTATAAGACAATTTTGTCATAATGGAAAAGTTTTTTTTTCTCGGTTAATCACAGGAATTAATAAACGAGTTAAAAATAATAATTCATATTATTAGGGAAAAGAAAAGCAGTAATTTTCAATTATTCAATTTTAAAGAAATGAAAAATTTTTTAGAAAAAAGAAGTTTAATAATAATTTTTGCGCAAAAATCATTCGCTAAAAATTTCTCAAATGATAATTTACAGTAAAATATTTTATTAATATAAATTTCAGAGGGATGGTTAATGATAGGAACCATGAAAGCAACACATAAAAACTTGTTCATTGATATACTTAAAATCTGATATCATTCTTTGATATGACAATAAAATAAAAGAATATATATTTATCAATGTTTTGCAACACTAATTAATGCCTTACGGTTATATTATCATCAGAAGTGTTATTAACAATTCAAAGATTAACAAAGCGGAACAAAGAACGAAAAATATGGAAGTGATTCATATTCAATCAAATGATAATATCATTAATTTGTATTTGAAAATGTACACATTGATTGATTTTTAAGATTTTTAATTAATCCATACATAATATATCTTTTTTTAAGTTTTTAAATTATAAATTTAAAACTCTAAAATTGAAGGAACGTTTTGCATGATTTTTTGTGATTGTTTTGTAATTCTATTTTTAAGATATGCAGAAATAAGCATTGTGAAATTTTTGAAATGATTATAAGGCATTGATAGTGATAAGAGCAGGAAATAATGATATTGGTATAATTATTATTAAATATTCTGCT